TGCCAGAGGATCCGAAGGAAGCATGGAAGCTAAGACAAAGAGCGGCCAGGAGCACAATGGTGGACGACGAATTACACAAGAGAGCTCACTCGGGGGTCTACTTAAAATGCGTAGGACAAGAAGACGCCCGCCGCATCATCGTTGACCTACATGAAGGGATGTGTGCCATGTACATGGGAGCCCGAAGCCTAGAAATAAATACACTGCTCAGTTGGTACTACTGGCCACGCATCAAAAAAGACGCCAAAGAATTTGTCGACAGTTGTCACAAGTGCCAGCTCCACGCACGCCTGCACCACGTTCCATCAGTAGAGCACCAAGCAAACATTAGCCCATGGCCCTTTGCACAATGGGGCTTAGATTTGTTGGGTCCCTTCCAATAGCCAAGGGGAAGCGCAAATACATTATCATCGCGGTTGACTACTTCTCAAAATGGGTGGAAGCCGAGCCGCTCGCGCTGATCACGGCTCAGAAAGTACTACGCTTCATAAAAAACAACCTACTAGCTCGGTTCGACGTCCCGCAGTCGCTAGTGTTTGACCATGGCAAACAATTCGATTGCGCGGAAGTCATCGACTTTTGTGAGTAGCTGAACATAATTGCGCGCTTCGCATCAGTCGCCTACCCACAAGCAAACGGACAGGCCGAGGCCGCTAACAAGTCAATCTTACATGGGCTCCACACTCGATTAGGCAAAGCAAAAGGAAGTTGGGATGATGAGCTTCATAGTGTCTTATGGGCGCATCGGACTACATACAAGACGTGAACGGGCGAATCGCCGTTCGCCCTAACATATGGAACGGAGGCAGTAATCCCAATCGAAACACAGATACCATCCTTCATATTGGCACACTACGACGAGACAGAGAACTCCACATCTCGCACAACGGACCTCGACCTTGTAGAGGAGCTTCGCGACACAGCAGCCGTGCGCCTAGCCGCAGGCAAAGCACAAGTTGCGCGACATTACAACAAAAAACTCCGCCCCCACAACTTAAGTCAGAATGAGTTAGTGCTAAAACAAAAATTTCGCCCAAATCCAAAGCACGGCAAACTCGCCTCGAATTGGGAGGGACCATACCGTGTACGAGAGGTGGTAGGAGCAAACACGTTCAAACTCGAAGAAATTAGCGCAAAAAAATTCCAAGAACGTGGAACGCGCAGAACCTACGCCGCTATCAGCCAGCGGCGGCAGACCAAACAATGTAACCGTGTTCCGAAAGTGAACACAGCTGTATTTTGGGCATCTTGATGCGCGGTAACCCCGTAATGTAACCGTATTCAAATATGAATACAAATTTCCAGCGGGCATCTTAATGCGCGGTAACCACGTAACGTAACCATATTCAAAAATATGAATACAAATTTTCAGCGGGCATCTTAATGCGTGGTAACCGCGTAACGTAACCGTGCTCAAATATGAGCACATACTATCAGCGATAAAACATAAACACGCGGGTCCCCTCTTAAATGCTCAAACAACCATAGCACGGATACAATCAATAGAAACAAGATGCACGACGGCATCCCTACCATCAATTCAAATTGATTAAGCGCGCCAAGTCACGCTCAAAGAAGTCTTAGGTCATACCAAATAAACAGAAACAAAGAGCAGCAAAAAAAAAAAAAAAAAGCCATCAAAAGCAGATCACACGACGATCACATCATTCTGGCTAGTCCCCGCTTCACCCTCCGGAGCATCTTCAGTTTCACTTTCGCTATCATCAGAAAAGGCGCTTTTCATGGAAAAACTGCTTCACATGACGCAACATAGCAGGGGTGTTCCACCGCATCCCAGGATTCTCGGGTCGCGTCTTCTTACGCACGGCTATTACAGTCTTGGACATGCAATCCGCGAGAATCTTTTTAAAAGACTCAGACGAACGATATAGCTTCACAACAACCTTGGTAGCAGCAACCACAGCCTCACTCTTCTCCGCTTCTAACTCAGAACGAAGCTTGTTAAGCGCCGCGTCATGTTCCGCAGCCAGCTTGGCTTTCTCCTCCTTGAACTGCTTATTGGCCTCTTCCCAAACCTGCCGACGCACTTCCTCGCGCACTGCCTGTCTTTCCGCTTCAAGATTAGACTCTAACCGCGACTCCAACTCTCCCACCTTCAACAAGGAATCGTCGCACTTCTTAACCAAGTCCGAATACCGGCGTTCAGCAACCGCGATCTTTCCTTCCAGCTGTGTTGCGCGCCCCGACTCACTAGTGAGCTGATCATTCAAATCATCCCTCTGCTTCTGCGCGAGAAACGTCGCCAGCAAACCATATAACGAAAATATACATAAGGCATTAGAACCAATCAGATAAACGTAAGGCGATACCCAGCGAACAAAAAAAAATGAGAACTCACCGCAAACAAAGCTTCAGACAAATCACCAAGCGGGTCACCCCTGTCCATCCGAGAAGGAATGGTCAGTGCGGGTCCGATGGCCTTAAGGGCACTCTTCGCCGCGGCCACTGACTGGGCAGCGCCAGAATGCATGCGCACATCGCGCATGGAGTTAGGGACCAGGTCACTAAACCCTGTCATCGCGGGAATAGTTTGCTGAACTGAACGACCAACAGACCCACTACCACTGGCGCCATAAACGCCCTTATCAGGCCGGGGCGGTTACATCTTCCCACCATCACCAACTTCATCTTCAACACGCGATTTCTTCTTCCCACCATCTTCGTCCATGGCCGCTTGTCGCTTCCGATCAGTACACGACACCCTCTTTGGCTTTGGCTCATCCTCCGTGGTCATCATGCTATCCACATTTGATTAGTCAACCCCTACAACAAGCACGCGTAAGGATTACATTAATATGGGGCGCGTAAATCACACAAAAGAGGCAACTAACCATCACGATATAACTCCGCAAGCAAAGGGGCGCGAACTTCCTTGTTGTAGAGATTGATCTTCTCATCCAGAAGCAGCTCATAATGCGCGTTCAACCCATCATACGCTCTCGTCTCCGACTCCATTCGCCTTAATCACCAGCTGACCAAGAAGACATTATAGGGGCATACTCGCTCGACCACTCCTCTGGCACAGGCTTCACGTAGAAGAACCTATTGAACCACGACTTGTCCAGCTTGGGCGAGCCGTAAACATAGCCGCTGTTACGACGATCGCGCCGCTTCACACAGATGCCAGTAGCCGTCTCAGGCACCCTCATATTGTAACACTTACGGAAGAGCCCATAAGAGGGCGGGATATTGCGCCGCTTGCAGGCCAAACGGAACATGCAAGTATGCAAAATAACCGACGGGGAAAATCGCGCAATAGAGCATTTAATTACGCGGTATAAACCCCAATCCACCTGACTCGCTAAAACACAACACCTAACAATGGCCAAGTGTAACCAATGAAAGGGACTGCAGTATAGTGGCACAAGTAATAAATATCGAATCCACGGGTCTCTAGAGTTACTATTACTCAGCTTCAGTTCATTATCTAGCAAACTAGATTAAGGATTGATTTACTAAACTACTCTACTAACTACTCTACTAACTACAAGTTGAGAACTCACTTAGGTATGATTCCCCCTAGCTCCTTAATTAGTTCCAAGTCGCAATTACTTTTGGTTGATTTACTGTTGATTAAACTGCGGAAGATCCTAAATTAGCTTGGAATCTCTTAAGCTGACCAAGCCCTCTTAGACAGAATACCCGGCAGGCGACTAGCCTTCACCGGCATAGACTGCTAAGGCGATTCACACAGATCTCCACTACTGGAATGAATTCCAGTACAAAGCAGTGAATTGATTGACTCTCGCACAACCAATTCACCACTATCAATCAAGGAAGCTCTCTTAACCTAATCAGATTCTATCTATCATAGGTTAAAGCAGAAATCAATAGAAGATGATCAGGCTTCAATTGACTCTATAAATCATGCCTCAATCGATTATATAATCAAACAATATAGCATCCAAAACTTCATACAAGAAAGATCCTAACACATGGAACTAGGGTTCCTCAAAACCTAAGTGAAGGGAAGTTACTCCATAGAGAAGAGAGAGACTGTAGAAATCTTATCTAGATCTTCAATCTCCATCTCCAAGCCTGATTCGCGAGCTCCAATGGTGAAGAAATCCTCCAAAATAGCTCCAAGAATGTTCCCAAGTCGCTCTCTCTCTCTAGGGTTCGTCCCTTAGGTGTTTGGGATCCAAAAACCCAGCTCTCCCTCTCCTTTGGCTCGAATTTGGGTAAAAACTTAGAATTTCCCGACTCACACGGCCGTGTAGCTTGCCCAGCTGCCCGTGTGAGTGTCAAAACGTGGCGTTTCGATTAAGTGCCTTCAACCATCCTACACGGTGACGACCCACACGACCGTGTGGCCTTCCAGGGTGCCCGTGTGAGTTCCCTGGAATTTCCACACGGCCACTAAGGGTCCCCTACACGGCCGTGTGGCTTATAGGCATGCCCGTGTGACTTCTTAGCTTCTCGCCAAACATCCAAACTTTGTCCAATCGACCCGAACTCGTTCCCAAACCTTCATTCACGTACTAGGACCTGAAATATCACAAAAAAGCACAACGTAGCGTGAAATCGGCCTAAACCACGAGAATCAACATCTCAAACGGCTCAAGAATAGGGGTAAAAACATGTGCAATTAACGGTCTATCACCACCCCTTTGGACAATTCCCAATCCGACTCCGCGCACTGGGGACCGCGTACTGGCAATGGGGCGCAAGGCCAAGCCCGCGCACAAGCTTCTCCACGTCGCCCCTCCTGAGCTCCGACACTTGATCTGGACCGCGCACCAAATTGTCACTCGGCACGGCCCCAGCGTCAAACATCTCCTCCCAACCCACGAATGTGTAGTCCGCGCCAACTCCGTCTACGCCAAGGCGGCTAATTGCCTCCGACACACGAACTACGGGAAGAAGTTGTTCCGACTCCCGAGGGCGGTCTGACGCGGTCTATGAAATCTCGAGCGAGTTAGATCTCCCTGGAGAATCAACCGCCTCACGGTGAACCCCCAACACCCCAATGGGGGCATCTACCCTCCGGGAAGTACCTTCCCCGGAAGGATCCCGCGGCTGATCACTCCCACTGTGCAAAGGATCAGCACCGCCGCTAGAGTCGAAGGGGGCGTATGTGGCAACTCACCACCGAACAAAGGACCATCCAAACCAGACAAATCAAAAGATGCATCAGATAGATTGAGCATGTTACCTTCTTCGTCGAAGTCAGGCACAACTTCAGACGCCTTCTTCTCCTCAGCCATCACGCACAACACAGGGGAAAAGTGAAACACCCTAGTCCGGCCGGACACTACTTTTACTAAAATGCCATTGACAAATAAAATACTCAAATCTTAAATTGCAGCGGGAAAATTTTCATAAATAAAATACTGAAAACACACACTTGTAGTTCAAAGCAAAGCCCTAACAAGTGGGCAAACTCAATACTAAAAATCTCCCAAATGATCTCCAGTCTGTACTCATAATCATAAATGTAAATAACTAATAATCTCTAAAGTTGTTGCTACTGAAAACCTTGACTAAGCATCCTCCGTGACGCCTATACTGCTCTCCTCTAGCTGGCTGCCCTCGAACTCGCTGCTCACTAACTGCTCCTCTAGCTCCTCAAAATGGTGAGTGAGATGGGGTCAGTCTACGCCCTTACGTTTAACATTTTATTAATACTTGATCACTTTACTTAACTGAGTGGGAGTTGTTTTGTACTTCCACTATTAAAAAGCTTAACTCTTAAAATTGTATGGGAGTTATTGTTACTCTTCATTCTTAAAGCTCAAATCTTGACTTAAATACTTGACTGACACGGGGATCCTTCACTAGCTAGTCCGGTTGCCAACTCATACGTATGAGAAGCCAGCCAGGCTTTCCTTAAACTTAAACTTAGTTAGGGGAGTCGTAACGATTCATCCCCCTAACATCTTAAACTCATCGTGGTGGCTCTTCACCACGATTCTCAAGAGCATAACTATTGCTCATCTTAAAAGTCTCAAGAGCATAACTGCTGCTCTATCTCAAAATGTCGCAAAAGGCAACGGACTGGCGCTAGTGACTAAAAACACTTAAAACGACTGCACCTTCTTGAAGGTGAGTTACTTCTTAAAAGGAACTTGTTTCTTAAACTTTAACAATAACTCATAACATAACGCTTTAAGGTAAATAGCACAAAGTCACCACGAATCACCTCAAACCATAGCTCAAGCAAAGCACAAATAATCAATCATAAACATAATCAAGCAATGGTAACCAATTCACTAAAATACTTAAAATCATAATACTTAAAAAATACGTAAGGCGTAGAATTTACCCCCTTTATACTCACTTTCCAAATTAAGCCGATATACTTGAATCGGTTTCAAAACTTTAGTCATTTTAGTTCCTCCAACCTTGTCGGTTGTTCAAAACCTTCAAAGCTAATATGGTTGAGACAACACCTGGTGACCCATCACACATCTGCATCAATGACGATATCCGAGTGGCCTAATCAATAGGGCCTCTAAACTTCCATTAACTCGAACATGTCCGGCTTTGCCAGTCTGCTTATGAGAAGGGAATTGATTTCCTTTATGTTTGTGTCCCATCAACAAAATTCCATCTCCATTATTATCACAGGCGGCTTCATAAAACCTCGGTGGCAGGCAGGGCAGCAACGCTAGAAAATAGATGGAGGATGCCGGCGGTTCCACTACAACTCTGTATCCATTACACCGCACTAAAATTCTTCACCTGGTCTCTCTTCTGCAGTCAACATATTTTTGCAGTCTTCTTTCCCTTAATATCTCCACCGAAGGAACTGCTGCAGAAGCTAATTTGATTGGAACTGTTGAGCAGGTGAGACATGCGCAAGGGATTCACGACGTGGAGGGCTTCAGTATGCTTTTCACATACATCATGGAATCGCCACTTTCCAGCTATTAATTGCCTTCCCCCTCGTTCGTGCCATGGCTGTCGATTGGTAAAGGAGAGATTGACGTGCTAAGGGAAAGGGTTTGGGTGGCGGTTTGTGATATATGCCAGCGGAGGTAAAAACAAATGGAATTTATTCTACTTGGCTAAATGATGCCGAGTGGGGGTGGAGTAATTAGGGTTAGCTTAGGTTTAATCGACCCGGGGAATTTTGGGAATTTGACAATTTTGGGTGAGTTTATACGAAACTCAGTTAACGTCCATAATTTTCTCACTTCATGTCGAAACTCGACACCGTTTGAACTATTAGTTCACATTTTTAATCCTCATCGATAATACGGTGGAACTTGACCCAAGGGTATAATAGTCATTTTGACTTTTGGGAAGAGTGGGGTGTAACAAAAAGGAACCGAGAGGAAAGGGGTCGAAGAAGAAGGAGAAGCAACACAGTCGTCGGAAGGAAAAAAAAGGAAGCAAGAGGAGAAATAAACCAAGCCATCGAATTAGATCCCACTTATATACTAACGGAGGAAAGAAAGCGAGCCGCCGGATGATGCATCGAGAAACGGGAGATACGTCGAATCGCAATCCCGAGTTTGATTGCGGCCACCTCGGCTACAGCAATCCCGCCGCCAGGATTTTTGAAATTCAAAACCAACACACGCACCGACCAGTAAAGAAGGGACACGTGGCATATGAAGTGGAGGCATGTTGTCAGACGACCTTTCATATCCCAAGATCAGCAGAAGCTACTCCAAGGACCTATCTCCGCTAGGGGGCATAAACCCGTCACGCCCAACGTGACGCGCATAAAAGAATACACGTGTCACATTGGAACGCTACGCGCACGCATGAACCAGCGCCGCACTCTGCATCGTCGGTCGCGCAAAATTTTATGCGTACGCGTTAAATCACTACCAGCGGAAATTGGTCCAAGGACTAACTCCTGCTGGGGGCAATTGTTGGGGTAAGAGACCAAGTCGTCGCGCATCGAGTGCCCGCCCCAAAGAACCCCTAACATGCGCGACTCCGTCGAGACCAGGGACAACGTCTGACAACACGTCCCATCGTGCGTACGACTCACCTACCTCAACGGAGTTATAAATACAACATTTACTATGGAGAGAAGAAGATCGACCATAAAGACGAAACCATTCTCTCTCTAACTTTCTCTATCTACACTTTCTCTCTATAACTAGTCATTCCTATTTCCCAATAATATAATCTCTTGGCGCGCTGCTTACCAAAGATAACTCAAACACCATTAACTTAGTGTCTCCCTCCTACCACATCAGCGAGACATAAACACTTATCATTGAGTCTTGCTTCCTTTATATAGGTTATTTGATGTGAAACAATGTAAATTAATGCAAATACTTAAAATAAAATACGTAATGTAGAAAACCAAAATATGCTATTAACCATTCAACCTTTAAAAAGGATAATGTCGTCACTTAATATCATCCATTGTCATCGAGAGAGGAAAAAAAAAAAGGGACAGACGAACCGTGCATACTAGGGCGTTAATTCGATTGGTCGATCGGAGAAGGAGAAACTAGCCAACCATTTCATGTATGTAATTGTCATCGACGACTTCAAAAATTAAGACTGACTTTGCCGTTCATGCGTTAACTTCACGTTGGTATGGGAGTATATATGCGACGACTAGGTCTTCTTAGCTTCCTGACCGAAATATTAGTAATGAACTGTTCATAATATATAACATAAACAATAGTATAACACACTAGTTTAGGAATGAAGTTATCATTGAACATAAACAATTTTAAATTCATATCATCATCAAAATATCTAACAAATCATTCAAACCTTCTCACAATAGAAATCATAATTTTTTTTTAATTCAAGTTAAAAATTATGGTGCCAGTCGGTAGTGGACCATGTAAATTCGACAACAACGTTGGAGAATGAGAAGAGGGAGCATAAACAAAATTAATAAGTATGATTTGATGATTTTAGTTTACGTTAAGTATTTTTTTTTTAATATTTATGGTTAAAATAGTGAACCAGTGGACCAGTTAAACCGCGGTGGTTCATCTGGTTTTATGTTAAATCGTGAAAGACCGTTTGATTCATCAATAACAGTCCAATCTATGAACCGAACTGCTGTTGTAACTGGTTTGACGTTTCTACTGACCCATCTGTTGATCCAATTCGATTCATATAACACTGCTTATCATTGAGTCTTGCTTCCTTTATATATGTTATTTGATGTGAAACAATGTAAATTAATGCAAATTCTTAAAATAAAATACGTAATGTAGAAAACCAAAATATGCTATTAACCATTCAACCTTTAAAAAGGATAATGTCATCACTTAATATCATCCATTGTCATCGAGAGAAAAAAAAAAGGACAGAGGAACCGTGCATACTTGGGCGTAGGCTGACAATTTGGTCCAGAACTGTTTAGTTTTACCCGAAATCGGACCGTATAACCCGGATCGGGACCGGATAGCAAACAATCCAATCTCATATTCGGGTTTAGATTTGAGGTAAAAAACCCGGATAAAGACCGGATAAGAGACCCCAACACTCAAATCCCCACAAGCTCAATCTAAAATCAAAATCAAATTGGGGCCAGACCGGGTCAAGTCCCGAAAAGACCGGACTGGGATCCGATCAATTTGGTCCAATTTAACCGGACCGGACCGTATAGCCACCCCTACTTGGGCGTTAATTCGATTGGTCGATCGTAGGAGAAGGAGAAACTAGCCAACCATTTCATTTATGTAATTGTCATCGACGACTTCAAGAATTAAGACTGACTTATGCGTTAACTTCACGTTGGTATGGGAGTATATATGTGACAACTAGGTCTTCTTAGCTTCCTGACCGAAATTTTTAGCAAATTAAGTGAAAATGAAGAGGACAATATACAGATGATCAGAAAAGGAATATATAGTAAAGAATTGCTATTTGCTACACAGAATTGCAGAGAGATTAGAGGAAATCCATATAGAATATGGCCACCATCAACATCAAGGAGTCGCTAATTCTCATATACGCACTGCTATTAATCTTCCACGTCTTCCCCACACTCGAGGCGGAGCATGCCAGAAGTAATCTATTTCTTCCTTGTCCGATTTCTCCTTTACGATCTTCTCGATCGGTCTCTTCGATGTTCTTCCTGTTTTCTGTTTGTCTATTGATTTAAAATTTAAATACAACACGTTGATGCGGGTTTCGATCATTAATATTGTCGGGTTTTTTTGGCATGCATGAAATTGCAGCTTATGAAAGGAAGAAGGAAGCATTCTGGGGATCTGCTGTCAGTAAGATGGCTGTAGGCCAAGAACACACTTCGCGTCCTGCCAATCACAACGACGTTCCAGCCCCCTCCAGTTGACAAATAATAATAAGATCGAGGATTCCTCCGATCACTCAACGCCCAGTTTAACTACTCTAATAAGAGAGCAACAGTGTCCCAAAGTATTACTATACATATATAGTAGAAGGATGGTTACTGTTCACTAATAAAATTAATATAATAATCTCATTAAAACCGAGATCATTCCCGCAGTGCAATTCAGACCTTTTTATTACTTATTTATTATGCTAAGAGTCATTTTACTATACTCTAACTTTAAATTATTGGTGTTTCGACGTACAAATTAAAATTTTATTCAAACTTGCCCCTCTACTATAACCACATTGTCAAGCTTGCCCTTCCGTTATTTAACTCCCACAATTACGAGTTAAGTACTATTTCCCTTTCCGCAAATCGTTACTCTAAAATGTGAACCCTAAATCCAAATTTCTCAATTCAGCATCACCGGAACGTGGTGAGACGCATATTCCGATAAGAGATTGGGTATCGACCAGCTCTGTCTTTCATTTTTGCCTTCTCAATGATTTATTTGTTTCTCATTTATTCTTAAAAAAAATATATACATACTAGGATTTGAACCATGGTCAATTTCAACTATGATAAGAATCTTAACCAGTCATACTATATAGATTAGTTGTATCATTTTAAATAAAAAACATACATGAAGTTAAAATTAAAAAATCGCAGAACTTATCAACGGTTAGCTAAGGTCACTAAGTCTTCACACAGTACTTATTGGTGTTTTGATACTTCATTTTTCATATTTAATTATTTTAATTATACTTTAATACTAAATTTAAATTTCTATTTATCTTATAAATAGACGATAACTTTAAAATCATAGACCAAATATCATTGGTTCAATATTACATATCGAATTGCAATATCGAATGTGTTGAAGCGATGTTGAACTCCTACATTAGTATTAGTTTATAGAACTATTATGAGGCAATTATATTCATATCTTTCTGCAAACTATATGGGGACGGGCTCTTTTAATGTTTTTAGCTCGATTAACTGTTAAGTTTTAAACATCTTCCTAATCCGACAGCATGATGGATCCAACAATCATTAGAAGAGGTTGAGCTTAATTGATTTGTTTATTTCATCTTTTTATGTATTAAAATGAATTTGTAGAGAAAGGACATGTCACATATACACTCTACACAATATATACTATTGGCACTATAAAATTGTAGTCTCATTTCAAATTTCTTACAACGAGATCATATAAATGACATTTTTGTCTTCACCATTATTTATCTTTATTTTGTATAGAAAATAGACAAGTATTGGGATTTGAACTAATGTATCTTCAAACACAGACAAAAGTCATGACCATGATTTTCAATTCGAGTATGACTCTGTTGGTCGAACCAATTCTATCTAAACCTGAGTATCTCACGGGTGCCGAAGGCCCAGTTGGGTGTCTACTTAGGTTGGGTCAAAGTCGAGTTTGTCTATCTTAGTGGAAAATCCAACCAATTTAACCAACTGATTCGAGCACCAACCACTTAAAAATGATGTTGTTTTCAACAATTCGTATACGTAGCTACACTGTCATATCATCCTTTTACAGTTTACTTATCACAAAACCCTACAACATGAAACATCACAGACCATGTTCAGCTATCCCATCGTCTCTTCTTCTTACTTTAGATTTGAGAGCCTCCAATACACGACCCAACCATCTCAAAAGCTATCATAATCCCGCAATAGCAAATTTCATTTTTCTCTAGCTACATGGTCATAGAGCCAGTCGACCTCATCTCATACAAATACGAAGCAAAAATTATTAAGAAACATGCATTTGAGTTGAAACTTTAGGTGACTAACGAAGGCCAAATTCCTTATTTTAATTATTATTTAATACTTAATTAAATTCCTATATATATATCTTATAAATAGAGGATAACTTTAAAATCACGGCCCAAATATCATTTGTTCGAATATTCCATATCAAATTGCAGTATTGAATATGTAAAAGTGATGTATAATTCTTAAATTAGTATTATTTTTTAGACTTACTGTTACACAATCGTATTCATATCTTTGTGTAAACTATATGGGATTGGTTCTTTGAACATTTTAGTTCGGCTAACCGTCAAATTTTCAACCTTTTCCTTTTGTGACATGATTGGATCCAACAATCATTAGGAGCTTAATAAGTTGGTACATTTTACCTTTTTCAATGCGCTAATGAGTTTGTAGGGAAAAGACATGTCTTTATATACACCCTACACAATATATAATACTAAAATGACAAAATTGTTGTCTCATTTTAAATTTCCTACAACGAAAAGGAAAGTCAAAAATTATAATTCATGAAGAGTATACACTGTTACGCTCCCTTTCTAGCCTCCTACTCTAGCTCCCGATCCGCAAATTGGTAAGATAAATTCTTCAAGTCAATTCTGTTAACAAAGAGACTACTGGAAGAACTCGCCTTTCATCACATGTTGTCTTCCCTCGCAAATACCCCCATGCTCAATTTCCACTTGGTCGTAACTCATTAATTCCACTTTTGACACACATCACCACCATAGTAGTGCGACCTTCATCGCGTGACGAATACATGTTGTTGGAGTGCATGTTAGGAGCTCGAAGAAGGATAGCACAAAATAGCAGATAGAGAAACAAATGTGGATAGTCTGGTCGAGGAAGAATATTATTCATATGTAGATGAGATTTTATATAATTTATAAATATATGAACAATATAATAATTTTTTCATATATCCGGGCAAAAGCGGACTAAAACAATTAGACCATTAACCCTCAACCCACTTAATCGACTAGGCCAACGGGCTAAACCAGGTTGACAACCTTTGATACTTGAAATCCATATATTCAAAAAAATTTGGGTTCCAATTTTTATGATTGAGTCAAATCGATCAATAATTGTGGACTTTTCAGAGAGTGGTTGAAATTCAAAAGACGGTCTTCAAGGTTCTTTCGTGACGGACAAGTTTTTGCGTTTACTTATTGTTAGGTCGAAGGAAGAGAAAGCGGGACAGATAGAGGATGAGATTGTGGCTATTAATTATTGGGAGTTGCAGATGGAGAAGATAAGCTATAAAACTGATTAAATTTAATTTGATAATACATATATACTATATATTACAAAGGCATGTTTTATGTGAAAAATAAAAGGGATAGATTTGAGAAAAATGGATAATAGAGTTGCAATTTATGCTATTAACTCCACATGAAAAGCCAAAGATTCTATTGATAGAATAGAATTTAAGGTTTTATAATGTTGAATTTTCGTATCTTTTGTACGTGCATGAGTATCTAACACTTAACAACCTCGACTTATTATTCAATCAAGCCTATACAATAAATTCTAATAATTTAGACAATAAGCATTATGTTTACGTGTTCTTCCATATTTGAGATTTCTAGGCATAATCTTTTCGTTATTCTCTTAATTTTATATACCTTCAATTCCTACCATTCTAGATGACATATATTTTCTTTCAACTCCAACTTCATATCCGATAATAAAAGTCCACAAATTTCTTCTAAGATATGAAAAAATACACAACAGTAAACAAGGAGGATTTGATAAAAAAGTACATATTAACTCATTATCGGTAATGTCATAATCAGCAAATACCATAAAGATTACTATGAAATAATGAATTAACTATTTTAGAAACCTCAATTTATTTAAAAACAGGAAGAGATTTATCAAATGAAATAAAATAAAATTCATCTGACCAAGGAATCGACGTCGTTCTGTCTACATCCTCCGCCGCCATCACCTCGACGACCAGCAGCCCGTCGCCTTGCTGCTGCGTCGCGCCCAATCATCAACAGTCGACGCTTCTACTCGACACCGCCGCTGGAGACGTTTTCCTAGTCCACAAACAAAGTTCAGAGCACTCTCTATTCTTCAGATCTACTTCTCTCCTGTTCAATCCTTCAGAAACCCAGACATACAGTCTACCAATTCAAGTCCTACGACTGAAGAATCAGACCGGTCAAAGCCGGCAGCCGAGGAGAAGCGGGAAGCTGAATCCATGAAGCTCCTGGAATAGGACATAAAGCAGAAGCCAGCCATGAAATTGCTGAACCGACACCTTCAACTCAAGCCTGGAGACGACGGTCAGAAGGATCTTCAGATTGAAGGTGAGATTCTTGAAACCAAGGTTGAAATTAATTGATTGAATGCTCAAAAGAAAGCTGCCGAGAAGGAGGTTGTGTGGATTGAAATTGTTAGTAGTTGTGTACTTTGTGTTTGAATGGTTTGAAGATGATAAGTATGTTTTTGAGATTGAGAGAAGTATTCATATGGTTAACATGGGTTGGTTGGAGGAATTGTCCAAGAGACAAGAGTGTCAAATCTCTTGTTGATTCTCAGTAAGCAGAAGAACAAAAAAGAAGCTGCAAGTTTCAGCAGCAACAAAAAAAAAAGAGATGATGTACTTGTTTCACAAAAAAGAAGCTGCAAGTTTCAGCAGCAACAAAAAAGAAGACGCCTAAAAGGGCTCCCCTGTTGAGTTTGAAGTCAAATTTCTTTTTTGGAATGCTTGCTAGCTAAAGAAGCAGCAGCATATCCTCGTCAAGTTGGAGAAGTAGAGGGAAGTAGCCAACAGTGCACTCCCCTACTGATTTCAGTATGTTTGTTGGTAGGAGTGTTAGCTAGCAAAATGCAGCAACATATCCCAATCAATTTTCAATCCATCTGAAGCAAAAAAAAGCTAAAGATGTGAAAGTTCAGTCAGCTAGCTAAAATGCAGTGGCGTTTTCAATTGAAGAAATGCTTGCCAGCCAAGAAAAAGCAGCAGCATATCCTATCTTTTTTGGAGAAACCGAAGCTACAAAGCTGAAGTTGGGGGTTGAGAAGTTGAAGAAGAAGAACGGAAAGTCAGCTAGCATAAAATACAGCGGCTTATCCGAGTTTATTTGGAGAAACTCAAGCTTCAAAGTTGAGTTGGGGGTTGAGGAGTAGAAGAAGAAGAAGAAGAAGAAGAAGAAGATGGTATGCCAACTAGCCAAAAATGCAGTGGTATCATCGGTTGAAGAAGAAGATTTCATAGCTAGCTAGCCATAGATGCAGCAGCTTTTCAGAAGATGTTTGGGAAGTTAGCTAGCAAGATGCAGCAGCTTCACCATTTGAAGTTTGAAGGGAAGTTAGCTCGCCAACAGTGCAGCAACAT